GGAATTTTGGGGGGGATTTGGGGGGTTCGAGGGGGATTTGGGGGGTTAGGAGGGAACGTTTGGGGTCTGGGGGGAAATTTGGAGGGTCCAAAAGGGGATTTGGGGGATCAAAGTGGGAATTTGGGGGTTCAAAGGGAAATTTTGGGGTATTAGGAGAATTTTGGGTTCAAGGGGGGATTTGGGGGTTCAAGGGGGGAGTTTTTAAGGGTTCCAGGGGGAATTTTGGGAGGATTTGGGGGTTCAAAGGGGGAATTTGGGGGTTCAGAGGGGGAATTTGGGGGGTTCAAGGGAGAATTCTGGGAGGATTTGGGGGTTCAAGGGAGAATTTTGGGGTTCTGGGAGGATTTGGGGGGGTTCAAGGGAGAATTTTGGGGGGTTTGAGGGGGAATTTGGGGGTTCTGGGAGGATTTGGAGGGGTTTAAGGGAAATTTTGGGAGGATTTGGGGGTTCAAGGGGGAATTTTGGAGGATTTGGGGGTTCAAGGGAGAATTTTAAGGGTTCCAGGGCAGGAATTTCGGGTTCCAGATTCAGGATTTGGGGGTTCAGGGGAGGAATTTTGGGTTCCAAGTTGAGGATTTTTGGGTTCAGGGGAGGATTGGGGTTTGTGGGAAGAATTTTGGGGTCCTGGGAAGGAATTTCCAGTTCCAAAGCGAAGTATTTCAGCGTTGGGAGAGGCTCAGGGGATAAGTTTAGGGTTCCAAAGGGAGGTGTTTCAGGATTTGGGGGTCCGGGGGAGGAATTTCGGGTTCCAGATCGGGCGTTTCAGGGCTCGGGTGATAAGTTTCAGGCTCCAGATCGGGGCTTTCAGGGTTGGGGGATAACTTTAGGGTTCCAAAGGGAGGTGTTTCAGGGTTGGGGGATAACTTTAGGGTTCCAAAGGGAGGTGTTTCAGGGTTGGGGGATAACTTTAGGGTTCCAAAGGGAGGTGTTTCAGGGTTGGGGGATAACTTTAGGGTTCCAAAGGGAGGTGTTTCAGGGTTGGGGGATGCTCGGTGCTCGCTGCTCACCCCCGTCCCCTCAGGCTCCTGTCCGAGGCCGGCCGGGAACGGGAGCGGCGGCGCCGGGGCCAGGAGCTCGCCAAGCTCCGGGAATGGCGGCGGGACGAGGAGCGGCGCCGGGCGGCCGAGGAGCGGCGCCGCGAGCGGGCCGAGGAACGCGCTGCTCGGTGAGAATCACCCCCCCCCCCCCAAAAAAAAACCC